ATCCCAGAGTCTGTCTGCTTACAGTTTCCATCATAATCTGTTTGGAGATCCGTCGGACTGGTCAGCACAGATGGCTGTGTTTCCCTTCTCCTCTTTTGGTCCCCTTCTCCTTCAATCTACCTGGGGTGTGGGAACCGCTATCTGCCCTTTTCTTCCTCAAATGTTCCCCTACAGCGGTTAGGACGGTTCGTGGGTCCAGTGTCAAATTCCCTCCCACTTTTGCTTCTCCAGCCAGTTTTTCTGCTCTCTCGTTGCCGGTTACCCCTGAGTGGCCCGGAGAGAAGATTCAAGCCACTCTTTCCAGGCTGCTCTCCCTGATTGTAGCCTTCCAGTTCGTATACGGTATCCCTTTCTGTACCTTCTGTAGTGTGATCATAGAGTCAGTAATAATTACTGCTCGCTGATGGATTGTGTTCTTGATCCAGTGTAGAGCCTCACTTATGGTTTTATCTCCATACACATACTGGGTGTTGTCAGTGCAGTTGCTCCGCTTTGCTCTTTCACAACTACCCCATCAACTCTGACACTGAAGGCCCAGCCCGATTTGACTCCTCTGTTGACTGATCCACCCGTGAAGGTCACAGCATCTCCATGTTGGCTATGCTCTTCTATCAGGGTCTCAATTTCAGCGTTTGTAGCTCCAAGTGGCAATTTGCAACATTCTCTACCCAATGTTGCTTTCATCGTTGTGTACTCTCTGAGCGCATCTTTGACCACGACCCAATCCCTGCCTCTCCTGATGTCTTGTATCTCGCAGCACTCGCTGATGGCGTTCGTAGCTTAAGCCATCCATTCTTTGTCTCTCTTTAGCCTTGATATTATCTGCCGTCCCACTTTCTTATGTAGGGGGTTCGTCTCGTCTGCACTGACTCGTAAAAAAGGTTTGAACTTGTGCCTGTTTCTGCCTCTCATCTGCCCAAAGAAAGTCTGGGAGGTATCTCATTGCTTCAGCTGAGGTGTCTCGAGTGCACACCAGGATTGCCCTCATTCCTTCATTTTGTAACACCTCGAGTCGTTGCAGTTGCACCTTTGATATGGTCAAGAGTCGGAGCCCGTACTCTACGACAAAGAGTATCAGTGTCTGGTAGAAGATTACAAGGATTTTCTGGCCCAGTCTTAGCTCCGGCCATCATCTTAAGGGCTGTTAGGCTTTTTCTCGCCCTGGAGTTTGTTCTCGTGATGTGATCTTTGCCAGAGAGAGTGCAATCAAACATGATGTCCAAGTACTTCAGTGTGTGCTCCCTCCTCAGCACTTTGCCTCCAATCGAGATACTTGGCATTTCATCGTGCACTGCATGGTTATTCAGTGTACACCACAGTGCGCAGGCTTTGCCTGGGAGCAGTTTCCCGTTGAATGCTTCACACCACTGTTCAAGTCTGTCGAGTTCTTCCTGTACTCTCTCCGCTGTAACCTGGTGGTTCTTGCCTTGCCTGTACACCAGCACATCATAAGCGAAACTGTGTACACGTCCAGGCCCTTCCAGCTGGTTTGGTGTTATCACTATTGTATAGACGTTGAACAGTACCGGCGAGAGTGCACATCCATGTGGTAAGCCTGGTGTGATCTCGGTAGGTTGCAAAGCCTAGCAACCAAGGTGTAGTGCTACCTTCGTTTCAGCAGCACTGCCCCAATCCATTGCACCAAATGCAGATTGAATAGAGTCCACATGAGGGTGTCGTACTGAACTCTGTTGCAGGCATCTTCCAGGTCAAGTGCTGCTACCAGAGTTTCTTCACCCCTTTCGAAGCCATCGTATACGTCGGGTGCAAGAGTGGCAGCATTCATCCATGTGATCTTTTCTCTTCTATAGCTGCCCAATTCCGGTGGTAGGACGTTTTTTTCCTCCAGCTCTATTCCCAATCTGCGTGCCACGATTTTCTCCAGCAGCTTCACGACGGTATTTGCCTGGTCACAATGCAATATGAGGCAATCCTGCTTGGGTCCTTGTCTGGCTTAGGAACTGGGGCCAGGTGACTGTCCAGCCATTCATCAGGTATCTCCCCCAATCCACAGGCTTTGGTTTAGCCTCTCGGCTAGTGCCATTGTCTGTCCTTCCTCCATGTTCTTCATGTGGCCATAACGTACTCAGTCAGGACCAGAACAAGTGTTGGATGCTTCCTGGACATATTTATGTAACGATTCGTGTGTCACAAAATGTAGACAGGGTTCATCCTAGTAGTCCTGTAAGATCCTGTTGAGCTGCTGATTTCTTTTGTCCTCATCTTTTATGTCAGTTTGTCTTAGGTACCTCTTAAACAGAGCAGGACCCTTTTCTTTATCAGTGCGCATCCAAATATCACCCTCTCTTTGGAAATCAGGGATAGCTTGTTTGCTCTTCCTATTAGTCATGCACCTGTAGAAGCTCTAGAACTGATACAGGACCCTGCCGCTGTTCACGCACCGGCAGAAGTTGTCATATGCTAGGTCCTTGGTTTCTTTTGCTGCCTCATCGAATCTGAGATCTGCTAGCTTATTTTCAGCTTTCAACTGCACGTTTGATCTGTCCCTCTCGTGTCTTCTCAACGCCATGCTTTTGACCTTCCACAATGCCTCAGTCTCTTCATTCCATCAGGGTGGCTGCTGTGCCACTACCCTATGCTGTACTCTGGGTGGCCTGGAGCTCTTTTGTACTGACGTCATGACATGCTACACACATCCGGGGTCACCACTCTTGGTATGGCCACATTTGGTGGTCGTGACCAACGGCTTTTTTAAGAATCGGGGGGATGTGGGGGGGGGGGCGGTCCAAATTAACTTTCTCCCCAAAACACAATACTATTGCTTTGTTTATGAATGCCAATAGTTTATTATAATGTCCAATGAAAAATCTTTCCGTTGCAAGTTGTCCACTGGTCTGGTCGCAGCGTCAAGGTGGTGGGAGGAGGGGGGGGCGACCCTCACAGGTGTGTTTGGGCATGTTGTCAGGAACCCATCTGCTTGCCTACATGAGTACAGTTAAAATTGTCTAAGACGGTCGTCTGTTGTCAGGAGAAAAGTGGTTGTCTTAGACAGATGGACGTTTTACACAGTGTGATCATGATGGTAAAAAAATAGGCAAGGGATGAAATGGAAGTGGCCGTTTGCACAGGTGGTTGTCTTATACAGATGGCCGTTTGTGCAGGTGGTTGTCTTATAAAGATGGCCGTTAGAACACACTAGATTCGACGGTATTTTGTTTGTGTCTGTCGTTGTGGGAGCGAAGAGGGGGGGGAGGGGTCGGGGGAAAAAAAAGGGGGGGGGGTTATGCCATGCCGAGTAACTCACCTGAAGGGCTCTGACCAGGCCACTGCCGTCTCTCCCGACGGGTGAGTGTGTCGTCCGTGCAGCACATTGTGATCCTGTTTCGCGCACAGGTAGCGCGATATGAAGGTGAGCGGGCCAGAAAACAGGACCTTGAAGGGCGATGTGTTGGTGGCCTCTGAGCTGAAACTATTCTTCTGTGAAGACGCCTGATAAGTAGAGTTTGATTGAATAAAGGGAATCACATCGACATAACAATTGTCATTATTAATGATGTAGGGAAAAATAAGACAGACAGACAAACAGACAAATAGACAGACAGACAGGCAGACAGACAGGCAGACAGATGGACAGACAAAGAAGCAGCAGAGGGAAAGAAAAGAAAAATAGTTAATCAATAGCACCCTCTAACCACCCGCCTGACTCATGAAGGTTTGACTTTGTAAGCCCATAGAAAGCAGGTAATGTTTCAGTTAAAGAGTTTATTTAGTCGTGCATCTCCTTGTCCACAAGACTTCAAAAGAACTCCCTTTGCTAGCTTCTTCATTCCAAGTTGCGGTCTTCTAAGGACATAAAGCGTTGAAGCCTGTTAAGTGCATACTGCTAACGTCATACACATGTGCTCTCTCTCTCTCTCTGCGAAATGCCAAGCATCTATTTGGAGCTGGGTGAAATGAGGAGAATTTATTATGCGCAATTTTGCTCGGTTCCATTATTTATTGAGTAGCCATTTTCCGTTAACGTTTTGGGCATCACGTATATCATGTTTTCACTTTCTGAAATTTTTTGGCCATGGCCCAGACATCAGATTGTAACCCTTGTGGAGTGTGAAATCAACACGAGTTGTCTAATTGAACTTTGTTTCAGTTAGTGGGCTCGGCTATGCTCAAAAGTGTCACAACCAATAATCAAAACCCTTAGAGAGGCTTATTCACTCTGTCAGCTTTATACGAAGTTACCGTCATTGTGTCAACATCATAGCCGACATGCTTACTCATAAAATTAGCTAAAACAGTCCATAGACTTTCATAAGGCCCGACGACATTTCCAACTTAGCGTCTGTTCAGCGAAAATCAAAACTTAATGAGACAATGATTTGGTTTGTTTGTTTGTTGTTGTTGTTGTTGTTGTTTTGTGCATTTTTCGAGTTTTCTTTTCCTTGTCACTGTCCGTCTCATCTCGTCACAA